GCTTTAAACAGATCTGGCTGGATTGCCCCCTGGTCTAGTGGTGCAAGTGGCTCATTTCAGCAGGGAAGGGCTCGCTCAGGGTTCCCCTCTGCTGCAGTCACAGACTGCTCAGGCTGCACGTTGGTCCATCAGACCTGCCAACACTTTATTGCAGTTTTGTAATGACACAAAACCCAAACCTGACCAGGAAGAGAAGGAAGAAACAAACAGATGAATCAAAACATTTCTGTTTGCTGTGTGGGCAGGAGTCCTGGCTCTGCCTCACTCCCCGGGGTTTAAGCAACCAAATAAAGCCTCTTAGTTGGTCCCTTTGAAGTCCAGGCTGGGCTCAAATTCAGTGATGTGTGCTTGTCCTGCACTACTGATTTGAGGAATTCCTGAGTTTCTTTAAAACAGAACTCATTCTTTTTGCTGGGCACTGGGACTGATGTGCTGCCTGCTCACTTAATCCTCAAAAGAGCCCATAGCTTTTAAATTTGCAGGCTTGCCACAGAAATGGAACCCAGCTTGGAATGAAACTGTGTCAAACTGCTAAGTATTGTTATTTCTCTTCACAGATGAGCTGGGGCTTGTCCAGCAACTACCAAAGATGATCTCTGGGAACATTCAAAGGAAGAAACAAAGAGTGGGGAAGAGCTTAGCTTGGCTGCTGAGCTCCTGACCAGAACATGCTCATCCTGGACTTTCGTGTCTTCTAGCTTAGTGTTCCCTGTCAGTCTTAAGAGGTGCTGGACAACCTTCTGAATAAAGGTAGAAGATACCAATTTTTGTTCTGATGCTTTGGGATATTTCTAAAGCAATATATTCTCGATAATTTAAAATGTACCTGGGAGAAATGGTTTTGAAAATAATGATAGAAGAGGGGAAATCAGACCAGCCTTTCTTTTTGTGTTATTACTGAAAGCCACCCTTAAACTCTGAAATGGATGTTCCTTTGCTTTCCAGCTACAAAGCATGTTACTTTCTGAGGTCAAAAACAGATAGAAAACAAATGCACAAAATTCTTTGTCTGTGTAGATTACATTAATCTAAATGGATTGCAGTACTGAAACCAGAGAATAGTTGAGAATTTATTTCTTTAGGAGAAGAATTAGACCTCAAATGAAAAATAAACCCCACTCTTGGGAGCACTTGCATGCTGAGAGTGTTACATTTTTTAAAAGGAAATTATATAATTATAAATATTATTTTGTGACAATGTTTTTTAACCATTGCTGATGATCAGATTTCTGGCTCTGTGTTGTGTAGTTTCAGGATTAAATATAATCAAGGATTTCCTGGACTGAGTAGTCAGTTCAGACTGTGAGATATTTCCATAACAGTCAAGCAGTTACGTGGCTATGGGTGCAGCAGGGGTTTAGATCATCCCTGTTAGGGCACATCTCATATTTCTTGGTACCTCTCTGTAGCACTTACCCTTCACACAGTGCTGCTACAGCACTTGATTCAGAAGATATAAGTAGTAGTTGAACTCTCTGACCGAGGCTGTGTTTACCAGGAGCACAAAACCACCAGTAAGCCAAAAAAAAAAAAAAAAAGCCACAGGGTTATTTATCTTCCATTTTCCTGGTTCTGCTGTAATCCCACTGTGTACTACCCATAAACACATCTGCTGCTGTTGTACCAGAGCCTGGGAAAACAGCAAAGGTGCTGTGTAGAAAAGCTGCTGATGACCTTTCAGGACAACAATGAACTGGTTAACAAACACAAGTCCCAGGAGAGGCTGTGCCAGGAGGGTTCTGCAGGTGGATCTCGCCTCTTTCACACCCTTAAGCTCTGAAATGGATATTACTTTGCATCCCAGCTAGGAAGCACATTATTGTCTGAGGTCAAAAACAGAAGGAAAACAAATGCAAAAAATGCTGTGTCTGTGTAGATTACATTAATCTAAATGGAACTGAGCTTGCACTACTGAAACCAGAGAATAGTTGAGAATTTATTTCTTCAGGAGCAGAAATAGACTTCAAACAAAAAATAAACCCCACTGTAGGGAGTACTTGCATGCTGAGCGTATTATATTTAAAAAAACAAAAAATTGAATCTGCCTGAAAGAAGGTGACATGCCAAAGAGACACAGAAGACAGGGAAAGTTATCAAGATGGTAATGAGGCTAATGTGAATAGCTTTTCACTATGAAAGGCCTAAAAGGGCACTGCAAAATGAACCTTCTGTCTGTAGGAATCCATCTGCCTCACTGCTTAGCAGTTGGACTCCGTGATCCTTGTGGGTCCCTTCCAACTCAGAATATTCTGTGATTCTGTGACTGCTGAAAAGCAGCTACTGAAATGGCACCCAACAGATTATGAGGCTCCCACAATCTTGTACGTGTCATTACTTTCGGTCTCCTCAGCTGAACTGTACCCAGAAGACAAAGATCTTGTTCAATACAGTATATGGCTCCATTTTAGAAACTACTTGCCTATTTATCCAGATTAAATAATGAGTTGGGATACCATTTGATTTTCTTTACCTTTGCCATCAGTATAAAGGTTATTTAAAAGGCATTTATTTGAGCTCCTGAGCTTCAGATCAAATTTACCATGCCTTTCTAAAGAAAAAATAAAACCACCAAACAACAACAAACCCTCACATTTTTTAGTTTCCGCTTGCAGACTTCCTTGCATTGGCCACCTTTGTCTTCAACAGGTTCTGGATGAATCTCACTCCCTCAGACATCATGTGGAATATGTTGGACTCTGCTGGGGTAAAGGCAGCTATTGGGAGTGTTTCTGGTCCATGGTTCCAGGGCACATGTGTTTTTTGCACATGCCATGCCACAGTTTTATCCAAGAGGAATCTCAAATGTAAGAACACCACGCTCGCAATGAACAGTTACTCATATTTCACGTTGTTTTCCAGGCAGGCCAAAAAACTAAGCCTCCTAGGTTGATGGGATTAGCTGTTTTAAGATGGTATAACCACGGGGTGATTGTTCTTGGAACAGGAATATAACACAGGAAGGATTTTTGCAGCGTGATTCTTTTGGGCACAGGATATTAACAGCAGCTTCCAATCAGTGGGAGTTATTGGTGTCACTTAGACCTCTCCCCTACTGTATTTCACTACTGAAATGAAAAATGAGCTGAGATACATGTAAATTAATATTTTAATTACACGGCTGTGACCCTTAAGAAAGACAAGTCAATACTGGAAAACAGTGAAGCTGTGAGAATGGCTTGTTCTTCACGGAAATTATTTTCAAGCTTCTCAAGCCAATCTGAGTTTTAATCTAGCACGAGGGTAAGAGTACACTTTCAGGGTCAAGGTTTCATACCAAGTGATAGTGCTTGTGCTGCAAGTCAGCATTAGGACAAATCAGGTACACCAGTGATTGCACAGTCAGTGTATCACCTCTCAGCTGGTGTCTGGGCACTACAACATCCTTCCTCAACACTGACAGTGACAGCAATTATTTTGCTTTTCATGTAAGTGAGATTATAATCACGTCTCACAGTTTGTGCCCTAGTACAGAGTAGAACAGCTAGCAGCAATTGTTTTCCTCAAAACAGTATTGTTTAACTCTCTTTTCCTTTTTTCTTTAATTTGGCAGACCTTGTGCAGTGCCCCAACTGTCTACTGCATGCTGGTACAGCCTGCTTGTATGAATCCTGAAAGGCTCGAGATTTAGGAATTAATGTGTTAACACTGGATGTCCACTAAGTGCAAATTATGAAAAATCAGAAGTAAACTGTAAGTTGTGTAGGCACAGAGGTCAGTGAGAGAGCGAAGGAAGGAAAACAAAAAATACCCCACTAAACTGCCCCTGAGTTTTTTTCTGTAGAAGATAAAAAGGCTGTCATGAATTGATCACCAACATCAGCCACCAATAAACACTCACAGTTGGCCTTCCTATCTGCTCTCAAATGGTTCTTTCCTTTGTGTGACCTACACATATTCCTGGTTTAATCCACACACAAAAAGCTTTAAAATTTAAAGAAAACACGAATGGAGGTAAGAAAGCAGAGTTTTAATAAATGGGTGGTAAGGGAGACAGAACTAGGGAAAAAAACTCATCTTCATTTTCCAAATTCTAAAACAATTTTGAGAGAAGAGGAAAATATAAATTATGAGAGACTTGAACACATCCTTTTCATTAACCCAAGACAAGTAACAAGTGGTGTTCTTCAAGATGAGTCTTTTCCCATTAGCAACACACAGGATTTTATGCTAGAAATGAAATACTAAAGCTAGACAGTTGTACAGGAAGCATATTCAAAACCCTACTGGAAAGCAAGTTATAGCTGCACTGGTTTTCCTTGGTTTTTAAAAGTCACTGGGATGTTCAAACAGCTGTTGTAACAGACATCAGAAAGACTCACTAACATTACTTTCAATCTGAAACAAAACTATTACTGTAAAGCCAAAACTGTACCAAAAATGAAAATTTATTTGCCCTTATGTAGTATAGTAAAATGGAGAGCTTCTTTCATAAGAAGTTTCCGAGTACTATTTAAATTCAAATTTTTTGACCTAAGAAAAGAATAAAAACAAAACTTTATAAAATCCCCCAAGGATTAATTCTTTGGAAAGAGCAGCAAAAGGTTATTTGCAGCAAATTACTCAAAAGGATTCTGTTCAGTGACTACAGCATTTTCTATAAACCAGTAACTGCTGCATACACAGCTAATGTAAACACACGTAGTTTTTGATAAAACCACCTGCAATGCCTGCACTGTACTTTCCACTGTTCTAGAACAGTCCAATCTATTACTCTAAATCGTCCCATAATATTCAAGTATTTTGATCATAGCAATTCTTTCCATTCATTTCAAGACAGCATATCCTTGTAGAGCTGTGAATATATATATATATATATGTATAAAACCCTCTATCATACAAGAAATTATCAGGTTTACCTAATTCTGTTGTTCACACAGAAAAACATTACTGAGTTCTGCAGTTACACAGCTGTCAGATCACTTTCTTCAAAACCCTCTGCAATCAACTGCAATCAACTGTCTTTTCCAGATCTCTCACTTCTGTCAGTAATTCCTCAGAGAGCTTGTTCTGTGCTGCCTTTTGGTCACTGTTGCCATCAGATACAACAACAGAGAGTCCATCCACGTCAGGATGGCCACATCTACATATACATGCACACACTCCTGCTTTTTGTGCCAGGTAAAGGAAATGCAGAACAAAGGACAGCCAGCTTCACCACAAAGGTGATGCCCTCTTGAGCACTCTTACATCTGCTGTAGTATCAGTTCCACCTGCAACGAGCTTTAAGATTCTTACACATGTGGATTTTAAAACGAGGATTTCAAATCAAAACCCACTCTTCTCATTAAAACACCCTTTCAGAACTCTAGGGCAACTTTTTTTTATATGTTTGGATTATGTTTACTTTTCCCATTTTTTACACTGTAAGTGCATCATTCCCCTTGGGCTCAGCTTCTATTTCACCTTGATTCTTGTTCTCTTGTTTTACTTCTTTTGAGCTCTTCTCCTCCTCAGTTTCTGTTTTTACTACCTTTGAGTTCTGTTCTTCTGTTAGACTTGATGGGTTTTGTTGGGTGTCTTTGTTGCTCTTCACCACCTCCTGTAGATTGTATTTTCTGAACAGAACATAGTCTCTCACCACACTCAAGCAACAGACGGTTTTTATTATTTCTACCACAACTGTGTATTCTGGATTATTAAGATCGACTTTGTTTTCTGGATTGAGGCTGCCCACAATTCCTGTAAAAGAAGATGTAGTTTAAAAGATGCTGGGAAAAGTGTTTCAGAGCATAAGCACACCTTATTTGAAAGGATAAAAGTTAAGACAGAGAAGGCAAGATCCTCCTCTGGTTTAGCTATTTACTAATTTTTTAGCTTAAAATAGCAGAACTCAGGACTCTCAGAATACACCATCTGTAAGACTGAAGTAACTGAAGAGCTATCCCACCGCAATTACCAAGAAACAAAATACTCAGTAAGGTGAAGCTATTTTATGAGTCAAAAATTCAATGGAAATACTAACACACTATTTCAATATAGCAGCCAGAGAGAAAAAGCCCGAGAACAGTTATTTCAAAGCACGTCACTGGCATTGCAAATTATATTCAGTGTTCTTTTGCTTGTTGTCTCTTAAGAACATCAACACCAACAAGAAATACTGATGTCAAGCTTTTTTTAAGTCTTAGAGAAGCTTTTATAATTCAACATACAGCCTTTAAGGAACAAACATCTATGCCCATTAAGATCACTTTTAACAGTCTGGCCTATGCTGTGCATGCAGCTGTGGGTTGTGTATATACTTGCTCTGTTTCGTGTGAAATCCATACATACCTGCCAATTCCTTAATTACTTCTTCCCTACTCATATGACTGTTATTACGAGCTTTGTAAACAATCTGAAAAGTGCCCTTATTAGGGGCTTTAAACCAAGGCTCAAAAAACGTTTCTGTGTACTTTTTCATATCCTCCATGAAAGCCTTGCAGGTTCCAGAAATGGGCAGCATGCGCAGAATGACTCTTGTTTTCTTCTTTTTAGTGGTATGCATATCCTTTAATATATGGTGAACCAGGTTCTCGGGTTCTACAAGAAAAAGAGTTAGGTATGAGAAACAAATTGATGGCATTATCTCCCTCCCTCCCCCTGTAAATAATAAGGTGGGGAAATGCACACTTGGCTTCATTGCTGTCAGCCTCAAATCCTTTTTATGTAAAGAGCTGATTTACTATACAAAAACTGGATAATCAGAGCTTATTTTGTGAAAGCACATTACCTCTAACTTCTCCATTAATGACAAAACTCAGTGGCACAGTCAATGGGAAAGGGAAACACTGTAATTTTTCTATCTACACGTGTTTCTTGGAAGCCAGGCTCTGTGGCCTATCACTAAACGGTGTTCAGAGCAGTTTGCATTACTCAGCATCGGTTTACGTCCCACCTATGCCCTGGGTTCTGATGAAGACCACGTTGTTGGCACCACTCTCCACCGACTGGAACCGCCGCAGCTTCTGCTCCGTCGAGGCACGGATCTGGCCAACCTCCTTCTTCAGGGCCGCCTCAACGTCGTCCTCATCCTCCTCCCTGTCGCTTCCAGACAGCCTCTCCTCGTGATCTGAAAACTTCACACAGAGTGTCGGTGAGTACCGACCCACAACGCTCACACATCACTGGGGCCGGGCGGTGTGGTGAGCACAGCCGGGCCGCTTCACACACAGAAAAGGCGAGGACAAGAGGCCTCGGGGAGCCGTGCCCCGCCGGGTCCGCGCTACCCCCCGCCAGCCCGGGGCGCCCGGCCGGCCCCGCCGCACGCACCTGCTCGGGCCCGTAGAGCAGGTCCCCGTACTCGCCGAGCAGGCTGTAGGCCTCCCCCACGCACTTGCGCTCGTTCATGTTGCAGGTGATGAGGATGCCGCGCATGCCGGCCTCCAGCTGCCGCCCGCCGCCTCCGCCGCGGGGCCGCTTGGCCCGGCCCGCCGCCGCGAAGTGCCCCTTGGGCCGCCGCTTGCGAGCCGCGGGCTCGGCCGCCGCCATCGGGCAGCTCCGCCGGCACCGCCGCGATGGCGCCGGCGCCGAGCCCGCCCCGCGGCCCCTGCTCCGCCCGCACAGCGCCGCGCCTGGAGCGGCGGCCGCGGCACCGCCCGGGTCTGAGGGGCGGGCCCGCCGTGACCGGCGCTCCGGGGCCGCGGTGACCGGCGCTCCGTCCCTCATAGACCCCGACGCTTTCTCTTCCCCCGAACCCCAGTGTTAAACTCTGCGTTCATGGTTCAAGAACTGAGGGGAGGGGACGTGTTGCCTAAAATCGGCACTTAAAAGAAACCTCTAAGACTCAATCTTTGAGTTTTAGAAGCCAGGCGTTCTTTATGGCGACAGGCTGCGTGGCCACTGCACGCCCTCTCCCATGGGAGCAGAGGAGGCAGCAGTGCCGGAGCACAGGATGTGATTTGACTGCAAGGAAGGTCTTATGACTGCCATCCAAAAAAACACACCTTTGATTCATTCCATGACCAAAATCACATGATTTTACAGCTGGATAGTTTGTGAGTTTTCCTATCTCATAAAGTGATGCTTTTTGCTGACCATACGTCAAAATAATATTTAAAACATCAATATTCTGGAATCTTCTCGGGACTTTGCTACATTTGTTTCATTCCTGGCAACAAATATATTCACAATGGTGATACACTAGAAAAACTGTAAAAACCCCTAGCTTTGTACCAACTGACACTGGTACAAATAATCCAGCCAGTAATTGCTGGATTATCTGTGTAACCTGCATAGGTTGTCCAGATTTTGCTTTCCCCAGGCACTGCACAGGGGCAGAGCACAGCACAATTATGACTTTCACCTGGGGATAACCAATCCATAAGTTAAGGAGTAAGTGCTGCAATTATGCACTCCAAAACAAGAGCATATTTGACATCCGAAGAGTTTCATCATATACTCTGCTCTGGAGCTGACTGCACAAACCTGCAAATGTCCAGTATTAGGCTTAAAAGTGAAGTACACAAGAAATTGTTCTGAGATTTGGAAGCACTTTTGTTCTTAAAAGAAGTGACAGCAACAGATGAATGAGGATTTCAGTTGTCTGCACTGTGTAATTCAGACTTAAGGAGTGAAGAGGCAGCAAGGCTAAATTTCTTTAACAAAAAGCACCAGCATTATATTTACTTACATCCTCCACACAGAACTCTTCAGCTTCTGAAAAAGATTACCATGTTTCATTTTGCATAGAATGCATTTGTCATCATATGCACATTAATTAGATGGCTGGAAATTGCCAGTTAATATTAGGGTACGTTGAAGAACGCTGCCAGTTTTAACACGTACAGAGCATCTAAACAAGTAGCCCTCACTTGCTTGCCACTTAACTGCAATTGTGAAGAAATTCTTCAAGAAAAACTGTACAGGTCTCAAGAGCAAAAAACTTTGATGTGCTGAACAAATTGTAAAATTATGTAAATTTTGTTTTGAAGAGGAAATAAATTAAATGTAATTGCTGTGCGTTGGTGTCGGCAAGTACAGAAACTGCTTTTTAGGACACTTACTGTTCTGTGTGTTTCATAAGCTGGATGCTAAGACTGTTATGTTGTCTCTTACAGTAAAGATGAGACCTCAAAAGTTTCAGTGTATTGGTAAAATTTTACTTATTTTCTTCTAAATTTCCTAGAGTTTCCCACAGCCATCTTCTGTTCTCCTCCAACTGCCTGTCCAATGTTTGTGCAAGGTATACTGTCCAGGTAAGGAAAAGTAGAATATATTTGTTGGTGTACTTGATCAAAACAGTAAATCAAATGCTCATCTCACCTCGATTTCATTCCAAATTTAGGATGGGATAACTCAGATAAGATTAAAAATAATGGAAAATAAATTAAGTATTAGGAACAAAGTCAGAATAAATCTTTAGGGATAGCTTACACATTTTTTCTGAATTTTGTTGGTTGAACACTGTACAGTTCAACTGGAATGAATAGGACTCAAGAATAAAATCTGTCCTATGTAGAGAGAGCCCCACAGTGCAGGAGCCCAGTACTGAATGAGGCACAGCAGGGAGCTGGCTGCCAGTTATTTATGTTCTCTTTCCCGCTAAGCTCTACCTTCAAAAGCTGCAGCACTGAGTGCTGGGAAACAAATCAACCCAAGGTGATTAGTGGAAGAATGGAAAGTGCAGACTGGGCTGGATATTCATAAAGGCTGTGGACAGACAGAAACAGTCTGTTCTGCTTTACCAATGTAGAAATGTACGCTTTGCAGATACAGCAGTGAAGTCTATTCAGGGTGCCGACAAAAAGTGATTAAAATTATTATCAGATACAACTTCCACGGGAAAAGTCAACTGCAGTAAGTCACAGACTTTCTGTAAGTCATAGACCAATTATAACAGCTGAACCCAAACCCTAAGACTGTTAGCAGGAAGATCAGAAGAAATGAACTGTGCCACGAAGAGTAGAGAAAAAAAATAAAAATACTTGCTGCTTTTTGTAGGATTTTTTATAAAGTAAGATATTGCAGATTAACACAGTAACATCAAGTAAGAGCCATTGCACTATATCCTTCCTAGTTTAGGTTTGAATACAACCTTACTTGATTCCCACCATTTTGCTGTCCCTGGTGCTACAGTAACAGCACACACTGGTACAAATGAAATGGGAAACTCAGGGAGGCAGGAGCACAACAGGTGGTGGGAGTTAAATAAAGGTATTTATTGAAGTGTCACCAACATCTTATCTTTATTGTTACTTAAAGGATAAAAAAACCCAGTAAGAGTTTAAGAGAATACTATTGCCTCAAGAATCACATTCAAGAAGTGCAACAACTTCTAAATAGATTTTTAAAAGTTAGTTATAGTCATCCCAGGTATATTTACAAAAAAAAGTGCAAATAAAATCTGTGTCATTAAAATTGTTTTGAAGGACTGGGCTAGTGAAGAATTTAAAATATATGATAAAGCAGAAATTTAGGATCTGTAGCAACAGCTGTTCATTTTAGCATTTTTATCTGTTCTCCAACACTTCATTAATGAGTTACATCATGATCTACTGATATTTTTGTGTGCTTCAGCAATTTCCATTTCTATCTACGTTAACCAAGAACTGTTGTTTTTGTCCCATTCTGAGAACACATATCTGACATCAATTGACTGGCCTGATTACATTAAGCATGAAACTCAGTGAGTTTAAGATTCAGACAAAAACTTTTATCCATTTTCATGTTCTCATAGAGGGTCTAAGACATAAGTAGCTTTTGTTGGAAGAATTCCCTAAATTACTAGAAACAGTTCTAAGAGAACTCAAAGCATCTGCATTCAGGGTGAGACCATTAGATTTCTCTTTGAGAAGTGCATATTCCCACTTGAAGTATCCACAGCCTTTCCTATTACTGTCTTGCTTGCCAACAGGACAACAGAAAAATGCTTTGCCGTGATTTGGGCCAGCATTTGACACACAGAGTTTTTTGGCTCTTCGACCGCAGTTGCACAGAGGGGGAGTTGGTTTCCCACTTCTCACAGCTCTTACATGTGGGTTCAAATTGACTGTGGAGTTCAGAATGGCAGGAGACACTTTGGGCAAATTCGAACTTCTCAAAAGTAAGGAATGATCAAAAGATGAAGTTTTCTCTTCATATATAGCAAAAGACTGTTTTTTTGCTGGTGGGAATGTTTTTGGACTGGTTGGCTTTCTTTTAGGAACCTCCAAAGGAGCAGAGTAATTTACAGTTGGTGCTGAAATAGTATTTCCCTTTGCAGATGGTACCTTAAAAGCTGAAAAATTTGAAGTCTGCCTTTGTACTGTTCCTACATTATAGATTGTAGTATCAGGACTTCTGTAAATGACAGGTTTCAGAGGTTCCATGGGTACTACACTTTTCTCCAAACTCTGATTATCTGAACTTGTCACAACCAATTCTTTTGAAATCATTTTTTCTTCAAATATGGTTAAACCATCTGTACTCGTGTCATCCTTGAGCTGAACAGAGTCTGAATTTTGTTCATACTGAGATTCTGGTATTAAAGCAACATCTTCCCAGTCTGTCAGCAGAGACAAGCAGTCAGCACTGGTACTGATCTCCTCACTGGAGACAGTAACTGAGGGGATGGTTGTGGAGACGAGCACCAGTCCCGGTCCCTGCACTGGGGGGCTGTGTCTGGCTGTACCCAGGAGCTGCCCATTGCACAATCCCTGCTGGATGCCTGTTGGTGCAGGACTGGGAGATGGCTGTGCCAGCTCAAGAGGAACAGGAAATCTGGCAGTAGAGGCTGCTGAAGAGCTTTGGGATTGAGCGTAGAATTCAGTCCTTGAGCTGCTGCTGGGTACAGCATGGACATCTGCTGAGGTCCAAGTGGTCAGTTGTTCCCTGGTCTGTACATTAGAATTTATGTTGTTTCCAGTAAAAGAGTGTTTGTTCTCAGCCAGAGAGTTTGTTTCACATGTTCCATCTCTAGATGATGGTTCAGGCCTGCTCTTACTTCCCAGTGGAGTCTTGTCAGTGCTGTTTACAGTGCTGTTTACAGCCAGTGTTCTGGCAATTAAATTACTCTGCAGACGTGCCTAGGGAGTCCGTAAACAAAAGCAGATTTTGGAAAGTGAATACCCAGAAGTTTTGGGAATCAATGCACAAAATTAATAAGCGTATCAGGCTACGGATGTTCTGTTCAAATCAAAGTCAAGATGCTGGGTTTATTATTTGAATAGCTCTTCTTCCATCTGTATTCCAGGCAACAAAGCAAGTAGAGGCAGTAGTTACTAACCTTATCCAAAGATTTAGTAACCTTCAGCACACATCCATCACAAATCAGCCTCCAAGCAAGACGAGCAGTATTCCGAGAATCATCCAACCCTTCAAAAGTACGATTATATTAATGACTTCTTTTTAAACTGCTACTGGGGACAGTTCTTTTAGAGGAAAAATGTGATCTGGGTAAGCCTTACATAAATGACAAGGAGTCACAGAACTCTGACACATAGTTATCTAGTTCAAAAAAGGAAAGTGGAAGTAGAAAATTCCAAAGAATTCCCTGTGCTGAAACATCTGAAGGACCAATCCATGGAGTTGAATATCTATTCCCAAGTTTAAAAATCTTTCCTCTGTTTTATTAATCAAGTCCAAAAAAATAAATTCATATTGTGCTGGAATTTTCTCACATTAACATGCTGTTCAGAGCTACCATGTAAAACCAAGTTTTCTTATCCTCCCTCCACCTCTTTTCTTTTGCATCCTAGCAATTCAGAAATTGATCTTGCGAACATGCACTCAATAGCACTAGGAGAGACTTCAGAAATGAAGTATGAGTCTAGAAATAACAAACTGATCTTTGGAGCATTTTGCCTTTCTTGTTTTGCTGTTCCTTTGGACAGAACATTGCATAACCTGGAAACAATTGTTACTATTCAGAGTAATGACTAGCTACTAACTAGCTGCTTTAGTTTAGCTAACTAAATAGGAAATATTTAGCTTTATAAAATAGATATTAATATGCATTATGTACATATATTAAAATGAGGATCACCGTATCTTTCTTACCAGAATGTTCCCGTCCTACAAAAGCTATCCCCAAATCCTGCAGAGCTCCATTTAGCCCTTTAGGCTTCCTGTTATAGAAGGCCTAAGGAAAGAAATGTAGGTGCTGAACATGAAGCATTTCAAAACTTCTTCCTAGTCAAATGAAAAGCATTTCAGAAATATCACCTTATGATATTGTGCAAGTTGTGTGTCTGCACTGAGGATAAGACCGTGACTCACCCTGTAATAAGTTAGAATGGAAAGAACCATGAAACCCCTCCCTCAGACTTAAGCAAATCCATTCTGTCTGAGCTCTGGAGTCATTTGTCTGTATTCTATGGCTTACACTGATGAAGGCTTTAACAGACCAACACTGAAGAACAGAACTATAAAAAACACCTGATTTGATGACTAGGAAGGGGCAATATTCACACTGTTTATCTTTAGAGACCTAGTTCTGCTGCCTTGATGAAGAGCTTAGACTCCAAGAGTCAGGACAAGTAGACTTGTGGGTCACTCTCTGAAAGTTTCCTGGACTACACAGGGGAAGTTACACCTACGTGCTGATAGCCCCCAAGGTTAGAACTCTGTCCTGGTATAAGCTATGTAATAAATATGCATTCATTTTTCCAGTGTTATCCATACTATTCAGAATTTTTTTTCTGCTCTTGACCTGTAAGTACCTCTGTGATGATAACTTTCTACACAGCAATGAGAGCACTCAAAACAAGGGATGTTAGGAAAAAAGCAGAGCAAGAGGTGTAAAGAAAGGAAGAGCAGTTCAAAAATTCTCCTGGGATTATCAATCATTTATCAAGCAACAATCTTTTCCTACCATTAAGATTTCTATTAAAATTCACACAGTACTAGGCCATGCTGTTGGTTACTGAGTGAAAACATAAAAAGAAAACGGGTTATTCTGGTCATTGGAACATACAGCATTGGCTTGTAAGCTCAGGTACAGTTACCCTTTGAGGTGATAATGTGGATATAAATGTTTCAGTCTATTGATTTTCTCACCCTGTACGTTGCTTTGAGATCAATCCAGGAATTCAAAATGTCAGGTTTTCGCAGCTGCTTCCTTTTACACTCGTACTGCAGACACACACCCAGGTCCCAGTCTGTGCAGGAAAACAACAGTCAGTGCCCCACTACAGAACTGGCCTAAAATCCACATACTGTGGCCTATGTGTCCCTTTATGTGGCCTAAAATCTACATGAAGGGACGTAACATCAACAGGAGAGGAAGCACAGGCTGTGAAGTCTTTGTCCATGGAAAACACTGGGGTTGCTGCAAAGGGACATCAGGAGAAGCAAATCCCTGTTGTTAGTGACTTCAGACAGGTAAAGATCTCAATCACTCAATTGTTTAGACAGATTAAGGATGGTGACACAGTTCACTGTGTCAAGCAGAAAAATGTAACAGTGTCAGACCCTGGAGACAGAGGTGAACACATCAGGATTCCATATTTTCAGCCTTATCCCAATATTGCATATTTTTAATACCTAATACCAGGATTCTGGCAGCCCACAGTCTCACTAGTGCCACCAAATGTTGATACTCAGCAGAAAAAACAAATGAAAATTTTATTTACCTGTCCAAGTGACAAAGGTACATGCTTTTGCTTCCAAAGGGAAATTACTCTGAGTATCTGTACCGAATACAATTTTCTTCTCCTTTTGTATCTCATGAATCCATTTCATAAACTTTGATAAGCAAATGTTGAGAGGGACCCCTTCATCAACTTGATTCTTCATGAAACAGAACAACATGTGTGTCTTAGAATGCAATGAAATTCATTTGAGGTTTATTTCTTTTTAGCCCTTTAAAGGCCTCTTTAAATAAAACCATAAACAGCAATTATACAAGTGTAAACCAGTGCTAAATCACAATTATACCTGTGTTATGCCAGTTAGTTTTGTACAGAATTCAGAGAGAATAGGATGCTCCTGGGGCTGGACATACGCGTGGAACTCAGATTCAATCTCTCCCGTTGAGGTGTTCAAGAGGACTGCTGGAAATTCGACTGTGACAAACACAGAAGGGGAAGAAAAAACAAACAAAGAGAAAGAACCCAAAACACAAAGATGCCAGAAAGGTTAAAGCTGTCCAGAAATATTATTCCATTTATATATGGGTGCCTTCTAACTCAGCTGATTCTATCATATATAAATATTATTTATATATGTAATTTACACAGACAGATATAGATGTTATATTAGTCCATTAAATTGGGGCTGAAAAGCCAGGACTTAGAAGGAACACGATGTACTGAAGACACAACGTTCAAAGCCAGACCGCGGCCCCCGGACCCCCCAGCCCGCCCCCCGAAGCACTCACTGATCTCGGGCCCGCGCCGCTGCCCGTCCCCCCAGCCCGTCCCCCGGGGCACTCACTGATCTCGGGCCCGCGCCGCTGCCCGTCCCCCCAGCACGTGGCCTCGAAGTCCAGCACGATGAGGAAGGCGAAGCGCTGCCCCGCGCCCGCCCGCGCCCCGCTCCGCGCCCGGCCGCTGCTCCGCGCCAGCCCCAGCCGCCTGCGGACACCGACCACGGTCAAGGACAGCCCACAGCCCCTCCGGCCCCCGCCGCGGCTCCTTCCACTTCCCCTTCCCCGTCCACCTGCGGTGCCCCAGAGCCCCGGCCCCACCTGGCCAGGCGCTTGGTGGCCATGCCGGCCCTCCCTGCCCCGCCGCCGTTTCAAACGTGCCGCGGGCCCGCCCCCATCGCGCGCTCGGCGCTCGGCTGCTCCGGCCGGAGCGCGGGGCTGGTTCAGGAGCGGCCCCGGCGGGGACCCAGTGCCCCCTCGGGCCGGGAGCAGCGCACCCGTGAGGGGCAGCGGGACGCCGGGCTCCGGCACAGGCCATGGCCCAGGGGCTCTGCCTCAACGGGCGCAAGCGGCCCGCGGGGGCCGAGGAGGAGCGGGCGGCGCGGAAGAGGCAGAAGGCGGATGGCGGCGGCCCCGGCCCGGGCCCCGAGGTGAGAGCGGCGGGAGGAGCGCGGTGCGGGCCGCGTGTCCTTTGCGGCCCCTTCCCGGGGTTCTGCCGGGGCACACGGTGGGGCGCCGGGAGCCACGAGTTCGTGTTTTCACAAGCAGTGCACCGGGAGGGTCGGCCACAGGCGGTGCCTGCGGGTAACTCCATGGAATGTCCTGAGTTGGAAGGGATGCAGAAGGATCATCGAGTCCAACTCCTGGCCCTGCACAGGACACCCCAGTGATCACACCACGTGCCTGAGAGCATTGTCCAAGTGCTTCCTGGCCTGAGTCGGGTTTGATGCTGTGACGAGTGCCATGGGGAGGCTGTTAATGGCTTGGATTCTGCTCCGAGGAATGTGGAAGCGAACACATTTGGAGTGTTCAGCCTCACATTTCCTGAATTTTGTTTAAAAAGTAGATACTTCCTCCAGTATAATCTCCTAAACAAAGCAGATGTTGGGAGGAGCGTTGTGTCTGCTCAGCATAGACCCCTCTGAAGGGTGCAGAGCAGCCTCAGGGACACCTCACCCAGGGTGCGCTGGCTCAGTGTGGGGCAGGAGTGGCTGTGGCCGACCTGTGAGATCAGCCCTGTTGGTACCCAACTGGAGACTGAAATTCCTGTGGTTGGCAATACCCTCTACCTGGTGAATCAAAACTTTTGGTGTTTGTCTGATTTTGGTTTCTTTTTGCAAAGCTCTAATTAGGCCATGTTGAAAACAACAGTGTCATTACTTACTTGTCTGACTTAGCATGAGAGATGAGGCACCAGCCCATGCTGTTATTGCCAGATGATTCTCTTGACCACTGGAACCTCAAAGGCTGTCACCTCTCTTTAACCTCCTTACCCAGTGACAAATGTCTTTAAGAGCTCAACTGCTCAGTCCCGTGTGGGCAGGCTCTGTCTAAATTACTGAGCACAAGGCTTGTTAGTGTGCAGGGGAAAACACAACTTCTGGTTGTGTTTATCTGTTTGTATATCCTTTAGGGTTCGACATTCTGGAGTGTTCTGAGGCCTTTTCCCCTCTGTATGCAGTCACATATAAAAGGAGTATTTGTTAAATTTTTACAGGAGGAATTCTTTGGAATAGGTCATCTGGTCAGTGGAGGTCTCCAAAACCCTGCATTTCCATAGCCTTTAGAAGACTTTGTGCATTCAGGCTTAAAGAACTATGTTGAACTGTGTGGCACAGTCCCCACCTCATCAGCTCGATGTTTGTTTTCTGCAGTTTCCTTGGATTTTACTGAAACGTTTTTTCCTGCAGGGGTCAGCAAACCCCTCTGCCAGAGCAGATCACACACTGCAAATGGAGTGAATGAGTTTCAGAAAATCTCAGATGGAGTGGCTACTTGTACCGATGTTCAAAGCTCTACAGCGGCAAGGGGGTGAAAGGGTTGAGAGAGTAGAACATTGTGTTTGCAGATGAATTAAGTCTCCTTACTGCATACATCTGCTTACGTTAATCTTTATTAAAGAAGTCTTTGAAGTTACAGTACCTGGATTACTGAAATGCTGACAGTGAATTTAATATTAAAGTGTGATCTGAAAGGAAATTTTTGCCCATAACGAGTGGAAGAGTTATTTTAAATGTAGTTGATTGTATAAATAGTTTCCATTTATTTTCCATGAACTGGTGTGATTCCATAAAGCCTCTCTCTCCTGGCATTTCTCTTTCCACAGGAAAAGTCGTGTCGCCTGTCAGCAGCTTTGCTTGGGGAGGACTGTGAAATCAGCCATGACCAGCTGTATGAGTTGTTGAAGTATGCAGCTTTGGGAAAATGCCACAATGCAGCACAGCCCAGGTACAAAACATCCACAGTCAGGAATCAGCCCTGTCCTGTGCTCTCCTGTGTTGTGAAAACATTCCTCAGTATTGGCCACACTGGGTTTGAAACGCTCACATCTCAGATGTCATTATGGCAGCCTAGGTTGTGCAGATACAGTTGTTGTGAGACTTGGCCAGAGACCAGAATTCCCCTTCTGACAAAAATCCCACCATGTGGGATTTTTTTTGGGGCATTAATTCACTAGACTGCATCTCTACAGCTGAAGTTAGTTATGTGTATTCACATTCTGATGCATATAAATGAGGTATAAATGTCTTGAAATGCTATGCAGCAGAAGTTTGCTATAACTCATTTTTTCTCTGTCTCCCATATTCTCTTGCTTCGAGGGATATGTGTCTTCTGGAGATAAGCTACAAAGCCTCTTCTCATTGAAGTCATTTGGCACTTCGCCACTCACTGACTTAAAAGCTGGGCTGGTTCCAAGTTTGTTTTTAAGAGGACTTGATAAATGTTTTGCTTTGATTTTTATTTTATTTTTTTAATTATTGCTATTTTCTAACTGCAGCTGGTGCCGTATTTATCACCAAAGCCACCTGGCTGGGGTTGTGGTTGTTGTTCTACATGAAATGAGCCAAGTCCATTTCTACAGATTCTATTTACAGTTCAAACACCTCAGGAAAGTGTTCCGGCATGTAAGTCCCCAAACTGCACTGCTGTCTTCTAAACTTCCAGTTCTGACACCACATCCCAGGGATTGCTGGCTGCAGTGGAATTACTGCCTTTCCCCAGGATGTGGCCGTCTTTGACTCTCACAGCAAGCAAATGAGAGGATCTATTTGCTGCAGTTGTCAGCTCGGAACAAAGGCCAGGGCTTTGATATTAGAAACAGGATTTCAAGACTTATGTCTTTGAAGCCTTACCAGGTGAAAAGTGTATTGATGTTTCAGTCCTCTGTTACATATCCTCACCTTCAGGGTGGCCAGTGAGATTAAAAATATCTTGAAATAATTCCAGTAACCTGGAACTTATTCTGAGTGAGGAGACTCCCAGTAGAGTTATGCACTGTTGGAAAATTTCACTTTTGTTATTTGCACTTTTATGTTAAGTTTCTCCCATTTCCCCAAAAAAGATTATTAAAATAATTATTTTAAGTTTCTGACTTACAAACAATATTTTTGAAGGAAGAAAGAAGCACTTCAGGCTTCTGGAAAGTTCTTCCTGAACTGCAGCAAATGAGAATCACAACTTAACTGGAAAGACTGGAACTGGCTTTAGTTTCTATCAAAGAAAGTCTTGAGATTTGCCTTCTTGATAGTATCAGGCAAGGCAAATCTGTCCCTTAGTACAAAGAATCCCGTACCATATGTCATTAAAACAGGTTTGGTTTGTGTTGTTCTTTTTACTTGAGAAAAAACCAAACGTATTTCCACTATTTCTTTATCCATCCTTCCCTAAATTTGGCCAGTTTGGGGATCAAGAAAAAAACCTTATTTGCTTGTTATTTCTACCTCTGTTTCAAAATCTCTAACATTTCTTTTTTCAGAGATTCACATTAGCACCATCTGCTGACTTCCTCACCAGCCTGTATGGGGAAGGAACAGACCTGAAACCTCAAAACACAGCACAAGGTACCTTGTTTGGGTTTGCATCGTCTCTTTCAAGACAGTGACTCACTTTGAGCAGTAATTTATGACTTTGTATCCTCTGCAATCCCAGCGGGCTGCCACGGTAAACTTGTTTACAAAGGAACACATGCAATGGCTTAAACCTTGAGACTGCTTACCCTGACTAGTTCAGTAACACTTGTTGGGCTGATTGTTACAAGTGAACACAAAAAGAGAGAAAGTCCTTAACATATTTAAATCCAAATTCTGATGCTTCATTACCCATTTCGTGATTATTTTATTCTAAGATGTACCTAATAAAGGATACAGAGATATAAATTAGATTTGAGCTAAGAAGCCTGAACGTCAAGTATATTTATTATATACAGAGTGTACATAAGGTATACTCTTATGTATATAATGTATATAGCATGTGTATATTTATACACAATAACTGAGATATAAAGTGGAGATATGTATATATATATAAACTGGAGAGACAGAGAAAAATAAATTAGAGACAGGTAGACAAACTATGTGTCAGTCCTTCTACCTACCCATCTCTCTCCAGTCCATTGTTCCAGGTGGTGTTTTCATTTGAAGTGGTGCAGCCTCTTAAGTGTTTATATAGTGCAGAAGCTGACTGCAGGTGGGGAGTGCTCTCTGAGCTTGACAAGCACTTCTGTATTTTACAGGCTTGACTTCCACCAGCAGTGAACGCGTTGCCAAGAGCTCAGACTGGCAATGCGATCCCATCATTCAGAGATATGGAGAAACAAGACAAGGCCTTACCAGCTATACTCTGACTCTGGAAGAGCAGAAAAAAAATTGCTATCCCATAAAAGGTCAGTTTTTGGTTTTGGTTTTTATAATTTTAACAGTTATATGTTCTATCATGTAAGATATATGATGAGTTTTAGAAGAAAGCGGATTTTTTCTTTTATCATGGGTGTGTTTTCCCCTCTAGGCTCCCCTGGATGCAAGGACTATATCTCTACAGAGTGTGATCAGCAGAGGACAGACAGCAGCCCCCTCTTTGGTCTGGATTGTGAAATGGTAAAAATCAATGCGTGTGGCCTTACAAAATAGAGTCAGGCACCAAACTCTTACCAGCTATTCCCAAGTGAGCCAAGACCCCTGTGTATTTGCTAAACCAATTTGGATATATTAATATTTACTGCCAGTCCCTTCATTGATGGTACCAGCACTAATGCAGCCGTGGGAAGGGCACAGGAAGTGGTTCTGGCAACAAGAGAGAGATATTATGCTGAGCAGAGAGCTCAGGTCTGCCTTGGCTCTCAGAGGAG